AACCCCTGAAAGACGCTGCAAGTACAGAAAGATGCCTGTTGATCTGCCAGAATTCTAGGGAGCGCCTAACTTTTTGTTTGTGCTACCAAAACGGTGCCTTTCCTCTACTGAAATCCCAAGCAGTGTTGTTAGCTGGACCATAGAACTCCACCTATCCCTATGTCTCTATGTCCCTCACCTTGTGCATACATTGATTTAGTTCACTGCAAAACAATGCTGCTGGTGCCATTAGTGGCAAGAGCCTGCCCACCCACTGTATTTAGGAAAAGGGCCCTTTGGAGATGTAGTTCTGGTGATTGGCCAGGAAGCCGACTCCATGTTCACCTCACGGCACAGCCGGATAGAGGAAATCTCCCTCTGACCGGATCTTCCGGTATAGGGGGTAAGTATCAGAGCATTTGGGCCAGTACAAGTACTCGCCCAAATACTCAGTATTGGCACCGATACTAGTACTGGTGATGCCTTGCCGTGCTACGCAATTATTCTCCCTTACTACTCCTTCAATGCAAATTGATGAGCTGGCTGACTCATTGAAAACAAAGCACTCTCTGTTGGCTCATTTCCTCTAACCAGTTGTTTAAAGGAGTAATTACACTGGACCCATGACCCAGGTGGCTAATCTACAAACTGATCAATTTAAAGCAGAACTCCGGGCAATATTTGTATTAACCCTTGTAGTGGGGCTATGCCTGCACTGCAAGGGTTAACTGCTCTTTTTTCTCCAGTTTACAAAAAAAAAAAAAAAAAGAGTTATACTCACACAATCCTTCAAACCAGCTTGTTCTTAGACCAGACCTTCCAGCCTCTCTCCCTCTCCTCTGCAGCGGTCTAAGGTCCCGTAAATCATCACGTTCTGTACACAGTGTAGAGACGTGAGGACACTGAGGAACATTCCAATGCTGCAGCGTAGAAGGAGACAGGCTTCAGTGACCAGAGAAGGAGGTAGCCGACTCTGCGGTTTGGGTGAGTATAACTTTTTTTAGCACCAAGACAAGAACTAGCTGTAAATCCGTGCAGTATGTGGGTAGCCGCACTACAAGGGTTCAGAACACTTTTGCCTGGAGTTCTTCTTTAACAAATATTTTGTAAAACAATAACGTTCATAAAAATAAACACTAATATTAAAATATATATGCTGTTAAGAAAAAGGAGGATGATTTCCATAATAACTTAGAGATAAATGACTTAATGGGATGTAAACATAAAACCAAAGCTGGAATCTGAAACATGCCCCAGCACATGATATATAGAGCAGCTTGCTAAGTATTACAAAATGTCTTTGGAAAAAAAGTGTTCTTTCTATAAATGTCCAAACACTTGTGTTGATAAATGGGGAAACAGTGATGAATAACTTCCATATGTTCCCTTCTTTCTAATTGTAACTAAAACGATAAATTCTGATTTTCTACCACTGCAATACCATTGTCAAAGTGATGTCCCGTGGACAGTTTATTTAAGCTGGTCTGTAGCATCAGACAGTCATAAAATTGTCCTGGATTGTGTTTATTTTTCTAAACTTAGCAATGGTAGGGCAAGCCACTTAATTTTCTACGGACATTTTAACACACAAACCATGAAACAAAAAGATCTGAATTGCAGCATCAGCTCCAAAAAGTATCCTACTCTCACCTCCCCAAACCAATGCACTCATTTATCTCTGCAGGGGTGGAATAAATGTCCCACTGTAAGGTTTGCAGGAAAAAAGTCACTGCTTTTTAGAAGTCTGGAAGATATTTCAAGTCTAGTTTACTTAACCTGCACATGCATAGAGATCCTTATGTAACTGCTGGCTGTTGCTTTAAGGTATATGTCAAGGTTTAGTAACCTTTTTCACATTACGTGTCATTTTTACAAGCAGTAGGCAAATGGTGTGCCAGTGCACCGTAGCCATATAGTTTGTTTTCAGTTTTTGCCCTCATGGTTGTAATGCTTATTGCAAGTTAAACTCATTTATTTTATTATATTAGCTGGTGCACTTGCAAAACCTTTTTATATTTAGACCTCAAATTAGCCCCAATACCTGTACCTTCAGGCCTCGGATAGGCATCATACTTGAACCTTCAAGGTTCAGATCATCCCCAATTCCTGCACCTTCAGATCACAGAACAGCTCCAATGCATGCACTTTCAGAACTCAGATCAGCCTCAATTCCTGCACCCTCAGACCAGCCCCAGTTTATACACTCAGAGCAGCCCCAATTCCTTTACCTTCAGACCTCAGAAAAGCCCCAATTCCTACGCCTTCAGACATAAGATCATCCCCAATTTCAGCCTCTTCAAGCTTCAGATCAGCCCCAGTTCCTGAACCTTCAGACTTCAACTCAGCTTCAATTCCTGTACCATAGATTAGTCCCGGTTCCCAAACCTTCAAACCTCAGATCACTCCCAATGCATGCACCTTACATTTTCAGATTAGCCCCAAACCTGTAATTACGATTCTAGCTCAAGCTGGGTAAATGTGGAAACTACAAATGCCTACTTCCCGATTGCCATGGTGATGCCCAGAAGCATGCTTGGACTATCTTGAGCTGACTCAGTGATTAGCCAGAGCCACCACTAGGTCATTGCTATGCTGACAGGAAGAAGTGTCCTTAGTGCAAGAGGGACAGTGGGTGCCAGTGAAAAGGCATTGCGTGCCCACCTATGAATGCGTGCCAGCGGATGCCTAGTCACTAATATCTCATATAAGCTACAACACTTTAAAGTCATTTAAAATATATTTTTATTATTTTAAAAATCTGCAGTTTTCATTAAAATGTCATCTGGACATTAGGTCCTCGTTCAGGCATTTACTGTTAATGGGTGATGACACTTTGTCCCTGTCTCACAATTGTGCTCCTTGTTTGTCACCCTGTCTCATGAGGGTATGGTGGAGACTAGAATGTGTGGTTTTAACACACATTAGGCAGGTATGGTCTACTGTTGTCACCTACAGGAAACCTACCCAGAGAAATGCCATGCAGTCATCAATCAACTTCATGTACATAGACAGTAAGTTTGGAGAAGATCAGGCTTCCAAGTAATACAGAAGTCTGCTTGTTTTAAAGTGTATTTCCACTTTTGCAGTCAAAGTTTAGGAAAAAAAACCCTCTGTATGCTTGTTATTACCTCCTATTCCCACAGCATACCTAAAAATATATATTTTTTAAACATTTCTTATCTTTTAGATTTGTGTGCGCAGCAGGTCTTTGCAAGCTTCTCTTTTATATTCCAAGTGACAGAAAAATCTGGCTGTCTCCATAGAAAGACTATGAACAGACTGAGCTCCCCCTCATACATACAATGTTTCAAGATCTTTAACCCATTGTTAAGACAGTGTTCAAATCCAGTTTACAACTGATAATGAGATCTGCCAGTACACTACAGACAGGTTAATTATGTAAACATTAACCTGCCCAGCCCCCTTGCATTCCTGCCAAAATCAGTACAGAGAACAACTTTTCTTTCAGAATAGAGCATGTATTTTGTAAGCAGCAATCTATTTTTTTAGTCATTTAAGTTATGCTATGTGAATGAGAAACATGTAACAAATATAAAATAGGTACTATTTGACTGCAAAAGTAGAAATATATTTTTAGCAATCCCATTAAATAGATCCTTTTATTTAAAACAAAAAACTGTAGCAAGTATAAAGTGCAGCAGCCATAAACCCTGCTGGTATCACTGAGTCAAGAAAAAAAAAAGTGTTGAAGCTTGCTGCTACCTGCTGAACGTACAAATTCCTACTGGTCCATCACTATGATGGGCTACCTCACTAGCCAATAGTAATATGCACGAGGCAGTGAGTAAGGGGCAGCAAGCTTAATCAATATTCGTACCAGCCAAACCTTTTTTGACAACAGACCAGTTTCGAAGGATGTAGAGAAGTGCAGGCACTTTGGCAAGGTTTCCGGCTCCAATTACATTTCCTCTTATAGTTATTCACAATTATGCAGGTATTAGTGGATTAAGTGACATCAATCAAAAACAAATCCAAAACACAAAAGACCTTAAAAATGTTGACCACATTAAAGTTTAACCGCGTTTAGTCTACATTTTCTATGCAGAAAATCTGACCACAGCATTTAGACAGAGTAAAATGTCGATCTTGCAGACAAATGCTACTTAATAGCTCACCTTTAAGATCATCTCAGCCCGTGTCATGCCTTTCACTACAATCTTTGTGTAACTGGCTGGAGCTTTCCTTATTACTTGAGAACCAATGGATGGCAGATCCAAAAGAACCGTTTTCAAAGAATGAGTATCAAGTAGAAGCTGTAAACAAGATAAATGAACATTAGGCATTACATGCGGACAGATTTTGATTAGCAGTAATACATGCAGTTACTGTTAGACCAATTGTAGTAGTAAAACAGTGGCAACCCTACAAGGCACAGTCACAATACACTAACACTTTTTTTTTTTTTGTTAGACAATTACAGCACATACATAAGATTGATAAAACACAATTTAGTCAGATAAAAATAATCTATAAACATAAAAACCTCAAACAAGATAAAGAGTAGTGTCCTGAGTCAGCCTCAGGTTTCCAGGAATCCCTCGACAAGCTCCAATGAAGTCACTGGGGCCTACAGTAAGTGAATGGTAGTCAGACATTGAGGTATTTGTCTTCCATTTTATTTCCCTTTTTATGCAAGGTCTGCTTTAAGATATGGAAAGAGTATGGTAATGCTGTAAATTTGCTAGGAGCAGACCATCCACCAAAGGTGAGTGACCATGCAACAAGACTAGTAAGGAAGATCACTAAGAGACCCATGACCACTCTATAGGGGTTACAAGCCTCATTGGCTGAGTTAGAGACAAGTGCATTAAACAGTCGCAGCAAAATGGGAAAGTGTCGGGTTTTTCCCTTTGTGCGGGAAATGTTGTAACCTCATCATTAAAAAAATAATAAAAAGTATCTTTAAAAAAAAAAATGGGAAAGTGTAAAAAAGAAAGCCACTGTTAACTAAAACTCATATGCCACCTACAGTTTGCCAGAAAGCACATGGGAGACTCTAAATTCAACAGAAAGAAGGTTCTATGTTCGGAGGAGACAAAATTTTAGCTTTTTGGCCATCAAACTTCAAACATAGACATCATTATAAACACAACATTCCCAATGTGAAGCATGGCGACGGCAGCATCTCACTGTGGGGATGCTTCTCTGTTGTACACTTGCAAGGGTAGAATGAATACAGCAAATGCAGGGAAATCCCAGAGAAAAAACCTGATACAGTCTGCAGGAAGCCTGGGCCTGAGAGAAACTTGTACTCCAGCAAGGCAACAATGAGCCAAAACGTAAAGACAAAAATGTATTAAAAATAATAGTGCTTTCTTAGAATGGCCAAGTCAGAGTCCAGATCTCAATAGAGAATTTGTGGCTGAACTTGAAAAAAGGCAGTTCACTCACAATCCCCATTTAAATTGACAGTTGGAACAGTTTCACAAAGCAAAATGGGAAGAATGTGCAGTGTCAGAGTTTTCTGATACAGACCCATCCACACAAAATCAAGGCTGGCATGTACCAAATACTGACTTGTAGGATTGTATACTTATGCAATTACTTATTTTGTGGTTTTTTTCTTCACTGTAATTGATTTATCTGTTTTTACGTTGACATTAAAAGGGTTTAAATCTGATCATTGTTAAAACAAAAAAACTCCACAAAATTAAAAATAATTTGATTGTGATGTTCTAGGACAATGAAACAAATACATCCAAGCGCGTAAATACTTTTTTATGCATGCCTGTGTTCGAGAAACCACACACTATTGATTAGATTAAGGGGACTTTCACCAAAAACATTCATTGTCATTTTACATAAAACTCATGCACATGTAGAGTCACGTGCAGTAAATATTTGGTGAATGTCAAATTAACTGCTTTATAAAAATGCCCCTAAATATTCAAAGACAAACTGATACAAAACTAGAGTGATTAAGAGGCCATAGTGACTAGTCTTGTGCTTTCAGTAATAGGACTAAGCATTAACTGAACAGCAAAGAACAGGCAGTAAATGAACAAAATACAAAAGAACTGTGAATGCCTTTACCATGTGAGGACACCTAGAAGCAAACTCTCGGGATTGCCCACTCTATAAACTCCTAATTACTGGGAACTACAGACCAAAGTGCATGTCTGCGAAGCAGATTAAGTCACTGGTGCATACAGAAATAAAAAGAAAAAACAAATGCCAGTTTCAATTATAAGAGCTGACAGCCCTTGTTATTCACATGAAGGTTAATAACAATGAGTTTATACAGGATTCCAGTAAAGCTAGTCCTAGACATCAGATGCTTGTTGAATGCTCCGGCCACCAACAGTTTCAGTCAATGAGTGATCATTCTATTAAAACTCACTTTCAAAATCACATGAAAATGCATACTTATGCTTTTGGAGAAGGGAGTCTGGGCAGACACTTCTGTACCAGTCTTATAATGGGGAAAACCGTAGTTGTTGTACAAGTTCACCTAAGAATGGCTGGCTGGAGATACACTATATTGCTAAAAGTATTGGGACGCCTGACTTTACACACACAGGAACTTTAATGGCATCCCAGTCTTAGTCTGTAGGGTTCAATATTGAGTTGGCCCACCCTTTGCAGCTATAACAGCTTCAACTCTTCTGTGCAGGTCAGTCAAGTTCCTCTACCCCAAACTCGCTCATCCATGTCTTTATGGACCTTGCTTTGTACACTGGTGCAGAGTCATGTTGGAACACGAAGGGGCCATCCCCAAACTGTTCCCACAAAGTCGGGAGCATGAAATTGTCCAAAATGTCGTGGTATGCTGATGCCTCAAGAGTTCTCTTCACTGGAACTAAGGGGTAAAGCCCAATCCCTGAAAAACAACCTCTCCACTTCTCCAGAGTCCAGTGGCGGCGTGCTTTACACCACTGCATCCGACGCTGTGCATTGCACTTGGTGATGTAAGGCTTGGATGCAGCTGCTCGGCCATGGGAACCCATTCCATGAAGCTCTCTACGCACTGTTGTGCCAATCTGAAGGCCAGACGAAGTTTGGAGGTCTGTAGCTATTGACTCTGCAGACAGTTGGCGACTTCTGCGCACTGTGCGCTTCAGCATGCGCTGACCCCACTCTGTCATTTTACGTGGCCTACCACTTTGTGGCTGAGTTGCTATTGTTCCCAGTTGCTTTGTTATAATACCATCACAGGTGACCGTGGAATATTTAGTAGCAAGGAAATTTCACGGATGGACTTATTGCACAGGTGGCAACCTATCACGGTACCGCGCTTTAATTCACTGAGCTCCTTTTCACAAATGTTTGGAGAAGCAGTCTGCATGCCTAGGTGCTTGATTATTTTACACCTGTGCCCATGGAGGTGATTAGAATACCTGAATCCTATTATTTGGAGGGGTGTCCCAATACTTTTGGCAATATAATGTATATGCCCCTGTCCATACATAAGCTCATGTCTATTGGTACCATAACTAGTGTCAACATTCGACTACAAATTTTCTCTGTGTGAAAAATATCAGAGCAGCTGTGAAGGGACATGCATCCACCTTTAGTTTTCAAAGCTTAACTGAACAGACTGAAGAAAGAAGATGACTGGTTGCCATAGACAACTGCTCCAGATTTTGTCTGCTTCAGTTTTGATAAATTCCCCTTGGTTTATCCAAGCCTGCACAAAGGTCATAAAACAGACTCATTGCATCTGAAACACATTTACCACCAAGAACACCTATATTGAAACATGGCTCTATTGTCACACTGAATGTTTAATACACATTCCTAGCATATGTTCTCTCATAATAAATGAATAAACAAATCAAAAGATTTTAAAACTGGACTAGCAAATCCGGACAGGTCAATACATGGTTGCTGATATAATGTTAGGCTTCTATAATAACAAATTTCAATGCAGTATTTTCAATCTAATTTTAAAAAGGTCATTCATGAACGTTTGCTTAAATTTCTTTACAAAATTCAAGAGAAACCAAAAATAGACAAGAAAATCAAAGGCAATCTAAGCTTGCCAAACATTAAATGATCTGCATCTGCACATTCAAAGTAACAATAGAGACTGATATCTAAACATAACTAAGTAAAACAGAACTAAATTACAAAATATTTCTTTAAAAAGTGCAGAATACAAATCCCCAGCATCTCCATGAGTTCCCCCATGGCTGTCTGAATATTCTACTCAGGGGCTAAGATGCCTACAATAAAGTAACAGAAAGGCTGATTTCTACCCTGGTGTACAGTAAATAAGTGGGAACTTGATTAACCAATATGAATGAACCTTATTCAAAGAAAGCACTCACAGATCACATGCACATTGTTTTCTCATTTACCTATAGAAATCACAGATAAACAAAAGCATTGGTGACTTATAAGTATTATGAGTTGCCGTGAACCACAATGAACACTGGTCTTCAAAACTACAGTTCATGGGCCGGATGCAGGCCACTGCTTGCCTTTCACTGGTCCCCCTTGGTGGAAGCATGTTCCAGTCAGCACCTGGCATTGCACTTTAGCCAGCAGTGGAACACCCGATTGCATAGTTCTGACCATGAGGTGATCAGTTCCTAGCGGAGCCACAGAAAAACAATGCTGATGGAAGATTCCTAATCTCACTGACACCAAGGACGAGGAACTAATTCTCCCACTGACACCAAGGGTAAGGCACTGTTCCTCCAACTGAAACCAAGGATAAAGGATGATTCCTCCCACTGATGAGGATGATGGGACACTATTTCTCCCACTGACACCAAGAATGAAGTACTATATCTCCCGTTAACACCAAAAATGTGGCATTTTTAACTCCCACTGATGCTGGAGCATTATTTTTTACAATTAGTGTCCACTGGTCACAGTCTGGGCCCAACACTATGAATGACAATACCTTTGTTTAAAATGTTTGTGGAGCCTTGTAGATAAGACAGGTGATAAAAAAAATTAAAAAAAAATTAAAAAAAACCTCTTGCAACCAAAAAGCTTGCTAAGAAACTTCACAGCAGAACCTATAGGTAAAGTAAACGTGACTATCCTTCTGCTGAAAAACAATACAAAATACCTATGTCCTGGTAAATCATTTTGTGCAGACGAAAGCAAAGGTATTGTCAAAGCAATACATTGCAGATGGTTTCAGTAAATCTTTGGTTAATAATGTAATTTAAATCACATCACTTCAGCATTATACAGTAAAAAGAGAAAAAAAAAACAAAATCACAGATACACAAATGGATTTACAGCTTTCACCAACTCAGGCAACCCTATATCAACATGATATATTGCTTGTAAGGCA